AAGACTTCAGAACAGGAGTGATGTGATCCACTTTCTTAGTGTTAGTGAGGAACCAGAGTAAAGACTTCAGAACAGGAGTGATGTGATCCACTTTCTTAGTGTTAGAGAGGACTCGAGCAGCGGTGTTCTGAATCAGCTGCAGCTTTCTAATAGATGTTTTAGTGAGACCTGTGAAGACACCATTGCAGTAGTCCAGTCTACTGAAGATAAAAGCATGGACACGTTTTTCCAAATCCTGCTGTGACATTAGTCTTTTAGTCCTAGATATATTCTTTAGGTGATAGTAGGCTGATTTAGTAACTGTTTTAATGTGACTGTTGAAACCAATAACAAATTTAACCCGCTGACAAGAGAGCCCACCTCCGAAGATCGTGACTGGCTGAGGGACAGACTTGGGGGCAGGTTCTCAGGAATTTCTTGGCTTCTCTCCCCCGAGCCAGAAGAGGAACACTACAGCTTGGAAACACTTACTGTTCCTGAAATTATCAAATCTGTTGGGCATCAGGGACCTGAGGCAATTGTGGCAAGCATGGCATTGTCTGAAGAGCAACAGAGGGCAATTCAGGTGGCTACCACTGGTCAGCGAACCAACCCAAACTGGCATTTGTTCAGGAAAGGAAGGTTGACTGCCAGCAACTTTGGAGCTGTCCTGAGGTCAAAGCGTGTGACTGCTTCCCTTATTGCCAGGGTGCTAGGGCAACAACAGGCCCTTGATGGTGTTTTGTCTGTACAGTGGGGGACTATGAATGAATGTGAGGGCGTCAGGGCATTCACCACTGCAACCAGATGAAGGTCCAAGAGTCAGATTTGTGGCTCTCCCTATCAGGATTGTTGGGGGCATCTCCAGATGGTCTGGTAGGGTAATCCGCTGTGCTGGAGGTAAAGTGTCCCTACGGAGCCAGGGAAATGACAATTAGTGAAGCATTGCAAATCAAGGGCTTCTGTGTCAGTAAGGAAGAGAAACATTCAGCCTGCGTGAGGAACTCCTTACTGGCACCAAGTGCAAGGTCAGCTTCACCTCACTGCAAGAGAGACTTGCTACTTTGTGGTCTGGACTACGAAAGACAGTGTCATCATTCCGATAGCCCGAGATGACAATTGGCAGCCTAACCTGTTGGCTCTTGAGGACTTTTTCAAGGCCCACATGCTTCCAAAGCTGGCACTGCCGGAATAATCACCTTTGTCACTGTTGTGGTTATTTTCTGAAAAAGACAGAAAAACAAAAAGGCATATTAATTTACTTGTTCTGAGTTCAGAGAGCACTGCTGTTAAAATTAAAAAAAATCTTTTAGAGAAAACTCAGCTTCAGGATGTTATGGTTCCCCTTTGAAGATCTTTCTTGTAGCTGCTGCGATCCTTGTTTGAGTCGTTCATATGTTCGATGAAAAAGATCATAAATCTATCATTTTCAAATATAGTAATTTTAAGAAATTGTAGAATAGTTTTTAAATGTTAATTTACTCTACCTTTGCTAATGTTGTGGTTGTTAGAGTGTTAGGTTTCTGACTACAGAGAATAACATATTTACAAAATAATATTTCTTAATAAAAAAAGGCAGTCCATGCAGAAAACTATTGTGGTTTCTTGATTCAAGCCTGCCTCTGAATCCAAATCACAAACCATTCTTTGGAGTAACGTTTTTGATAGAGAAAGACAGAAAAACAAACATGAGCCTACCCCGAGAGGCCAGACTTTTCAAGGTAAAAAGACAGTTTAAAGATTTATATTGCAGATATTATCAGCACATCTGAGTCAATTAATATGTGTATTAAACAGAACCTAAATAAAAGAAATACAATGCACCCAGTTTAAAGACATTGTTTGAGTTTAATGATGAACTCAAAATGTAAAACCAAAGTATGAAACATGTTTCTGGATTGATTAAAAAGCAGAATCTAAATAAAAGAATAAAATGCACCCCAATGAAAAGACAGTTTGAGTGTAATGATGAACTCAAAATGTAAAACAAAGTATAATAATAATACATTTTATTTATATAGCGCTTTCTACAACTCAAAGACGCTTTACAGTATGAGGGAGGGCAGACAAACAAGGACAGGCAAACAAATAAATATAGTAAAATAAAATAAACAGAAAAGTCAGTCAAGAGGAAGTTGATTGAGAGGGGGGGAGAGGGGCTTACAGATTGGAAAAGATGTGTATGAAACATATGTGTTTACATGTGAAAAGACACTATTTTTCTCCCACCTCTTTTATGAGAGGACGTTGGAAGTTCACTAGTGCGCAACATACCTGCACCAGTTTATCTGCGAAGGGCCTCAGGTGAGATGGAATGAACTTTAGGATCCTAAATTCTTTCAAACGAGCATTTGCTCTCTCGACGTGAATCCTATTTTGTGCGATAAGCTTTGTAGCCTGTGCTTCGCTGTGTGTCAGTTGGCCATGACAGAGGAATGGGGAATGTTGACAGTGACTCCTTCAGGAAGAATGTTCTGGATTAAGAATCCCTTGTCAGCCAATATCAGATCTCCAGGTTTGAAATGCTGAAGAACACCAGAATCCCGTACTATCTCTTTGTCACTTGTTGATCCTGGGTATAGTTTGCTGCAGTATGTGATCACAGCATTTGGTGCTACCCCGAGCAGTAGTTTGAAGGAGTGCATGCCACCGGTAAGCAGAGTAGGTCTCTTTCTGGATTATCCATTTTGCTTGGGGATATAGCAATTTTGATGTCCGTACAACTCCACTATCTCATTCTGCAGTTTTGGATGTGCCGAAATGAAGAAGGCAAGCTGGTTTTATTTTTCTCTCCCGGCTGGGAACAGTAACTCCTCATTATGTCCTTTAAAAAGTAATTTGTGGAGAACCTTCTATAAATGTTACAATCACCATTTCTGACAGTGCTTTTCACACACAGTGAAAGAGTGCAGCCAGATGAAGGTGTGTGTATAATTATGACGCAGTTTCATGAGGGTCATGAAACTTGGTCTTCAAGACTCAGTGCTTGGGGAACCAACCTTCTGGGTATGGTAATGGAACCCTCAAAAACGAGGCAACATACTCACAAACAGCACTGAATGTGTCTTCTATCTGGCAATCCTGTCTCCATACGAGCCTTTTCACTCAGCTGAGAGGCAGAATACTTGTCACGGCAGTAACTCTGCTTTGCCTTGGACTCCTCTAGCTGGATCTCTAGCTGCATTATGTGTCTTTGCTGAGATTGAAGTTTTTCTTCTACCGTGGTTGCTTGCTCCTCGGCATTCTCAGATAGTGGTTGAGGATCTTCATTAGCAGCCGCGCTGTGTTGATGGACCTGCTTCCTCCTCCAGTCATTAGACACGCAGCTTCTTCCTCCATTCCATCAATTATCCCTCTCAGACAGTAGGAATGCTCTTCTACATTCTGTGCTTCAAATGAAACAGGCTTTTTCTCCTTTTGTAAAAGAAAATGACAGCTGCAGATGCGGGAACAGGCATTGGGCTTCCTGTCAGCTCGTCTGTTGGGAAGATATAAAATATTAGTTTTCATGGAAGTCACCAACGTCACATATAAGAGCATAAGACATACAATACAAGGCTAAAGCAAAACACCTAAATATAATAACCTTGCACTTTGAAGTCTCGTGAACATTTTCACTATTTTGACATTTTTATAGATCAAAATTGAACTAAAATAAATAAATGGGAGATTAATCCATACTGAAAATATGTGTCAGCTGCTACACTAATTATAATAGTTATATTTCTTAATTAAGATAATATATTACTTTATTGATCCCCATTTGGGAAAGTTCTTGTGTTGCAGCAGCATAAAAAGAAAAAGAAAATATAAGTTATTATATAATATCAAAAGTAGTGAGGGATGGAACAGAAATAATAAATTGAAATATAACTGTAAAATGTACATGTGATTTAGCGTCCAGAGAAGCTATGGAGAGCAGCAGAGTTTCTCTGCGCCAGCCAGAGGTTGATTTGTTATTATAGTTCAATATGTCAAAACTAGATTTCCCTGACTACAATCTTTAGTAACATGGTGAAACGTTATGCTGCATGTACTCGAATAATTAGACTTAATCATGATAAGCGCCACACAGGTTTTAAATAGGATGTATTCATTATCTTACTTATGTTGCGGTCTTTCAGCAGCGCCATCTCTAAACACCGCGATACAGTCACTACCCATCATTACCATTTCACCGTGACATCGGACAAAAATGTAACAGCTTACCTCATAGCACGAATCAGAACATCGCCTTTGGGAAAAACATTGCCGGGAAACGATAGAACGAGCACGTTCCATGCGAAGACCTGTGGCTGCAAACTCCGGAGCAAAGCACAAACATTGTGTAGCAACTAGTAGAGCCGCTTAGCTTAGCTAACGATAAGCTAACGAACACCGAACTGCCGAGTGAAATGTGAAACACTAGGTAAAGTAATAGATTCCT